AAAATAAGTTAATTCTACAAAGTAACATCCAGCCAAGGGAATGGTAACGTTACACTGATGACGTTTTCCACCTTTGAGACTACAGTAAAAAGGACGTGAATCATTTTATTGAATAAGCTAACAAATTCCACACCCTACTGTTAAATTTACAGCCGAAATATCACTGAGAGAACGAGATTACTTTCTTGATACAGAGGCTTTAAAGGGGAAGGATAATAAACAGTGGCGAATCCAGACCTTGAGCTAAAGAGGGGGTGGGGCGGCAGTTTTCTTGCTTGCCCTGCCGGCTTTTCTTCCTTCTGCGGTTTTTTTTTTATCCAAAATAAGGGGGGTGGGGAGAGTCGGGGACCCCGGGCCCCTCCCCTAGATCCGCCACTGCTAGAGAATCTGTCCTGGACATCAAAAAATACTACAAAACGACAGAAACTCTTCAATATACACACTTCACCTCATACCACCCACCAGGCATTGAAAGAGGTTTTATCAAAGGCAAAGCAATGCGATTGCTTAGACCTAGCTCTTCAAACACAACATTTGAAGAGTGCCTTACAAAATTCAAACTACGCCTCCGAGCACGAGCCACCGAGTTCTGTCAGTGATTGATTTTGCCTTAAGAGTATCGGGAGTCGGACAAAAAGGAAAAAATCACAAGAGAACATTGCCTTTTGTCACCACAAACCACCCTGCAGTGTAAAATATCAAACACTTAGTGACGGATAACTGGAGTTTAATACAAAATCAGCCATTGCTAACAACGATTTATAAAAATACTCCTATCATCTCATGCAAACAAGGAAACTCGTTAAGGCAAAACTGTAATTTTATGGTCGCGTCATGCGACGCGACCATAAAACCACGTCGGAGTATGTGAGACCCTTTCTTTTTCCTCCCCAAGAAGAACGGTAGTTAGCCGACCTGAAATTTGCCATGACGTTTATCGTCATAGTGTATAAAGGACCAGTTTGAGCAGCCCTATCCGAAGGGAAGGACGCGCTGGCAGTTGAAGAGGGCATTGAAGACATGTCGGCCATGCATAGCCGAGCGAGCTTGATGACCTGCGCCAAATAAGCTACAAACTTCGTTCTCCACCGATGCCGTTGTCTGAGGGGCTGTTCTCCTTCTTGAAGACGAGCCCCGTTGGTCAGTTGCTGCGGATAGATCGCCAATTCTACCAAGAAGTTGCCTGAGCATATTTACCGCAGAACTGCCAGCGGTGCCGGAAGCCATTTTATTTATACCACGTGATATATTTTGGCCCGAAAACGTCCGATAAACCTACAAGAAATTCTCATGCGGTAAAAAATTAGCGACCGACAAAAAAACATTCTCGACCGACCAAAAAATTCTCAACCGACAAAAAATATTCTCGGACGACAAAAAATATTCTCGACACAAAAAAATTCTCGACCGACAAAAAATAAAATCTGGCAAGATCACTATCGATTCTCTGGAATTACATCTGGGCTTGTCGTCTTAAAAACTAGATCTTAAAAATAAATTTTATTTTCACTATGGCTTTCCATACATATTCGAGACGAGCGTCTTGACATACTCGAGACGTTCAAAGAACAACACGAAGCATTACTAGAAGTCCTTCGAGATTTGTTTTGCAAGGCAAATGTCAGAGAAAGTAGCTTACAAGTTTTGAAATCTAAAAGGAAAGGCCGCTGTTCCGACTGATTACCATGACGTCTTCGGTGCGCAACGATGCTTTAGACCAGTAGCAGATACAAATGACACTACACGGTACTCTTTTAGGTAGCAACTCTTTTAAGAAACCAATTGACGACCTACAGATCCCCGGTAGGGCGTCTAATAACTCAGAGAGACATAAAAAGTAGGAACCTTTATTTACGAGTTTTGGAAATCACGCCAACAGCATTATTTTGTTTCAGATTGGGCAAGTAACCAAGTTCTGTTAGACTTCATTCTCTCCATATATAGAATGAAATAATACTTCTATGTCAATGAAGCAGAAAGTAGTGTCCCTTGGAAAGTTTGAGTTAGAAGTTGATAGGTTGAATTAAAAGATTTCTTAACTGGGAATTGCAATTGCATTTGAACCCTATGTACAGAATTTTTTTAAACTGTGCCAAAAGTTGTGTCTTATCATGTTTATCAAAATTTGATGATTTAAAAGCATTTCACCATGCCTATTTTGAATAATAAGCCCCTAAACTGTGATTAAGGTTGTTTTTAGGAGGTCATATTGTTGCTATGGTAACCTATTGCATTACGAAAATGATAAACAATGTGTTTACCAATGATTGGGGAGTTTTCTGATACAATGTTTGTAGCATCAAGTGATAAAGAGTGGTTATAACGACCCATCAAAATCTAAGTGTTGGAAACTGTTTTGAGCCACCTGAAACTCAATCCGTTGCTTCTTTCTTAAGGTACACTCGTTTGCCAGTTTCTCAATGTGATATGATTGTTTGCAAGAAAAACCAACACAAATATAATTATTCATAATAAATAGAATTAAATTTCTATATTTCTATTAGCATCAAAATCNTTGTATTTGCATTCAAACTGTATATTCTTTTGATGGGAACTCTGCAGTGTTGCAGTGCAATGTTCTAAAATAAATTGATATTTTTCTCAAAGCAACTTGCAACTTTCAGCTTGGGCAAGTAACCAAGTTCTGTTAGACTTCACTCTCTCCTTATATAGAATGAAATAATACTTCTTCTATGTCAATGAAGCAGAAAGTAGTGTCCCTTGGAAAGTTTGAGTTAAAAGTTGATAGGTTGGATTAAAAGATTTCTTAATTGGGAACTGCAATTGCATTTGCGAAAATTTATGGTGGCTTTGAACCCTATGTACAGAATTTTTTTAAACTTTGCCAAAAGTGTGTTCACCAATGATTGGGGAGTTTTCTGATACCATGATTGTAGTGTCAAGTGATAAAGAGTGGTTCTAACAACCCATCAAAATCTAAGTGTTGGAAACTGTTTTGAGCCACCTTAAACTCAATCCGTTGCTTCTTTCTCAAGGTACACTTGTTTGCCAGTTTCTCAATGTGATGTGATTGTTTGCAAGAAAAACCAACACAAATATAATTATTCATTATAAATAGAATTAAATTTCTATATTTCTATTAGCGTCAAAATCATTGACTCACTTCTGAGGTTAAGATCACTGATATTTTGAGTTCTTTTTTTTTCAATTTATTTTATGCTTTGTAGCTGGACAAAGAAGTAATACAGGATATGTACAAGAAGATGACTCTGTTGAATACAATGGACCGTATACTATATGAGTCTCAGCGACAGGTAATAAATAAGTGATAAGACTGAGTGATGTTCACAAATATTTGTCTCCAATAACTTCAAGGCAACATGATCCATTAGACCCTGGGGGGAGGGATCGACTCCCATTTAAAAAGTTTACTTGCTATGAAAAGGATGGGTGTGGTTGTCAGAAATTTTGAAAAGAACCTCTAGGAGGTACCAAGATCCTGTTTTGTGGGCATGGCTTGAAATTTTTTTCACCCTTAAGAAGTACCATTTCTACACCATTGAACTGACACTGACTTTTTTCAGCTCAACACCCTAAAAGGTACTGCAAAAGCTCCCACTGTGGGACCTTTTGAGGTTGAACACCCTTGGCCTAAGAAGTATCAAATCAGCATTTTTAACAGCCAAAAGTACGACAACCACCCCGTCCTTTTTATAGGAGATTCCCCTCCCTGGGATTTAGAGCTTCTTGAAGTGGACAATCTTTAGTCCAGATTTAATACCTGGTTAGAGAGATATTTCTTTGTAGGAGAAGCTTAAGGTTGACTATTAGTGAATGGTTACAATATTATTGTTATCCTATAATTACGTAGCAAACACATGGGTTTTCAACTGTAACAAGTATTGTTTGACAAGTACTCTTTAGCAATGAAGGTAATTCCAAAAACTTGGTGTAGTGTCAACTTTAATTTTTATGTTTCCCGCCTCTTGATTCCTAACAATCTTAAAAATTCCTGGCAAAAATCTGCTGTTGTCCTAAAATAGCATTTTTATTAGAATTATTACTCTTCATGATAAGCCCTAGTGAGAAATCCATTTGATAAACATTTGAATTGTCTATGAAATTTTTTTCTTTATTTCCAACAAGGGGCGTATATCATTTTATATGACAAGCTATGGTGAAGAAGCGACACATTTTGGTAGTGCAGCAGCCCTTTCATCCGAGGACGTTGCACTTGGTCAGTACCGTGAAGCTGGTGTCCTGCTATGGAGAGGATTCACATTAGATAACTTTATGAACCAGTGTTATGCAAATCAATATGATAATGGCAAGGGTCGGCAGATGCCTGTCCACTATGGTTCAAAAGATCTCAATTTTGTCACAATTTCTTCTACCCTGGCTACTCAGATGCCTCAAGGTTAGTTCACTATTGCAAGGTTTAGCATCAGTCTTCTTAAGTTATAGTGGACCTGTTGTTTCAGTGTTGTATGATTGTATATTTGTGCACTCATAATGTTATTGATGTTAAATATATTAGTTAATTGCTAGCTTGCTTGCTCGCTTGCTCCCTTCCTTGCTTCCTAGCTTTCTCGCTTATTTACTAGCTATTATCAAGTCTATGATAAACAGTTACTGTTAGTAGTTAATTTAATTTTCTAAAATTTTATTTGAGCCTCTGGATATGGCTATGCATTAAAACGAGCAGGCACTGGGAATTGCATCATCTGTTATTTTGGAGAAGGAGCTGCCAGTGAAGGAGATGCCCATGCCGCCTTTAACTTTGCTGCAACTCTGGAAGCTCCTGTCATTTTCTTCTGGTAAATAAAAACAGGAAAAATATTCAGTATTTATCCAAAGCTTAATGAGTAAAAATATGTCTAGTTGTTCACTCTTCATATGTTAATGGCTCCCAAACATGGTGTAACATAATTTTAGTGTTTACGTATTAATTTAATAGTTTTGTGTCACATGAAGTGGGAATGCCATACAGTTTGATGACAGTTTTGCAATCCCCTGTGGGAGCATCTTCCCCTGTAAAATACTGTAAATCCTTGAATTAGCGCCCGGGGCGCTTATTTCAAATTTAGAGGGAGACGAGGGGCGCTTAATCGAAGGGCGCGCTTATTTAATTTTTCCCAAATTATTCATGGCCTGACATGATCATTTTTGTAATACATCATCTGCACGTAAACAACAACATAAGCTGTTTTTCGACATAAAAAGCTGATCCTAAAGTTTAAATTGTGGCACCGTTAATACTTGTAATTTTTTTCCAAACTTAACATGTTCACAAACCGAAACAATGCACTAATCTAATACTACACGACGAAAACTATAGATCCTTTGTTGTCTCATTACTCGTCCACAAAATGGGGGAAAGGGAGGGGGCGCTTATTTGAGGAGGGGTGCTTATTTTAAATTTTGGCCAACTGGAGGGGTGCTTATTTGAAGGAGGTGCTTATTTGAGGGGGCGGGGGCGCAAATTCTGGGATTTATGGTATTTAAAATTGAGGTCCTCGGAAATGGGATTTCTGGCATTCTGAGGCCAAGCCACCATGTTATAAACATGTCATTTTTTTTTATTTAGGGGGTTTGACCGAACCCCCCAAACCCCTCTTAGATCTACCCCAGAAGTAGGCAAAGAATGAGCAGATGAATGGTGCATGCTGTTGATTCATGAATGTTCCAACTTAGTTTGAATGGAAAAATCCTGTTACCTTATGGTTACCCAGGGTCAACAGTTAGACATGGTAATTACCTAGGACATGGATATTGTGTCTAACAATGATATTTCATCTTATTCAACAGCCGTAACAATGGTTATGCCATATCCACTCCTACCATTGATCAGTACAGAGGGGATGGAATAGGTTTGCGATTTTTTCTTCAGGTGCATGCATGGCTAATGTTTGTCACCAACTAAAAATAGAATATTCTTGATAGGATCTCTTCACTCTATTCTCAGCTTCTATAAAGTCTATCTAAAATCTTAACCAAGCAAATTTCATACCAACTTTAGTAATTATTTTTACTCCCCCTGCATGATTTAACTTTGTCTGATATCTGTGTGTAGCTGGACGTGGCAGGGGTTATGGGATGAAAGCAATTCGTGTGGATGGTAACGATGTCTTTGCCGTTTATAATGTCACCAAAGCAGCTCGTGAGATTGCAGTGAATCAGTCAAGACCAGTCATGGTTGAGGCTATGACTTACAGGTTAGATAGAGTAGTGACTGTTAAACAATTACAATGCCTGGAGGACTCCAATGTTAAAATGTCAGAGCTGATTGTCATCTTGCTTAGGCTTGTAAATCATGAATTCTGATCTCGCTTAGTGTGCTCAAGGGAACACCACTATTGACAAATGTTTGCACTCAAAGATATAGTAAAAAAAAATGCTGTCATATCCTTTTTGAAGTGGCATCTTTCATCCGGGTCAAATAAAGGTTATTAGCTGTACCCAGATAGGTCTCCTTTAGAGGTTGAACTCCAATTTTTCAATTATGAGCATCCCCTGTCTTTTCACATGGGAGTACCCCTGCCCCTGGGGATTATTGTTAATTCAAAAAGTTGATTTTGATGATTCAGGAGTTGAAGGATTTTTATGTGAAGTACTGTACCTGCTGTAAGTAAGTTAGCATATATTAAGTAATTCAAAGTAATCCTGCCTTCAGGTGGGCCTGAAAATTCAGTATTTTGTATTAACCACCATAGCTACCTAAACACATTTTCCATTTCATTCTGAGGAAAATTATGCAAGTTCTTGAATATTGCTGCTTTGTCCTTGAAAAGTCCCTGAATGGCCTGAGATCTGGGGTGAACCATGTTTACTTCCTTCCTCTTAAGATTACTTGATCTCACCTATCTTGAGCTTTGTAAGCAGCATAAGAGTAAACAATAAATAATTACAATGTAATATGTTTTCACAGAATTGGCCACCACAGTACAAGTGATGATTCCTCGGTGTACCGCTCTCTAAAGGAAGTCAATTACTGGGACAAAGAGGACCACCCTATTGGGAGGCTTAGGTATGTGCTTGGAGTAACCAACTCACNGGGGGTGCAGCTCCCCTCGCCGCCCCCCCCCCCGCAGCTCGCACGCCTAGAGTCCGATGATATCTATTCAGTTTTCCCTTGAAATTACCTAAGAACGATCGACTGAAAGTTCAAATTACGTTCTCCTTGTTTGATTTAAAGTACAGTTGTGAACAAGCACGGTAAGAGAGTATTTGCAAATATTTGCTTACCTGTTTGTTCAGACTGTATTCAACGAAAACTGAGAATCTTCCCACACGTTTTATTTGAGATGTGGATCACGTTGCCGAAGAACATGTACACCCAGTGCCAACCGAAGGACTCTATCAACATGGAAACAGCGTGCAAATAATGGTGCACAAACACGGGAGGTTTCGGAAGGGACTCTATCATGTTGTTATGAATTCTAATGTTTTGCATTTCTGTGATATGCAGGCAAGTTGTGCTTTTTGCCTTAGCAGAAATATGGCAGATAAACTCAACAGCGATGGTTTTCTTATCGAAACCACGGAGCAAGAACTAACTGGCAAAGAAACGGAAGATATGCAAACCGAGTTTAGCGATTTAACCAAACAAGACGAGGACAGCCTTCTGGGCGAAGAAACGAGCGAATTTGAAGACGACATCCCAAGTGCTCAAGTACAGAGGCAGAAGCCTAAAACCAGGAAAAAAGTGGAACAGGCTCTCGTAGGAGCGCTGGTGAAATTTCACCACAGGCGCATTGAAAGACTCACAATTAAGTTTAGAAAGCTTGAGCAAGCAAAGTCTCGAAAGAGCAACTTTGTAAATAAGCAGTCTTCAAACAGAAAGCAACTGCCGGCTAGGACACTATAGTGTACAAAGGTGATAGCAGATAGCAGCAACAGTAGACTGAAAACATCTCTCAGAAGTCAAATTCTCTGAAAGGGAAACATCGCTTACAAATATAAAAACAGAACTGCACGAAAGAAAATTCTACCCTTTGTCACACAATAGCACCCGGCTTTACCTAGCTTAAGAGAAATACTCATGGGGAAATGACATAGAACTTGATATAGAACAAACCACAGCTAAGAAATATCTTCAAGGAGCCACCCCTCGTATCATATCGCAAAGAAAAATCCCTGAAAGACATCCTTGTCAAAGCTAAGCTATAAAGGCTAAATAATATTTTCCTCGCGAACTGCAGGAGTTGTGAGGCCCGTTAACGCTTTTAAAACTATGTAAACCTCTTAAGCAGCTACGAAGCCACAAGCATTCTTAAGTAAGATTATTTTCTGCACGAATAATCAAGATCGTGTGAACAAAGGCCGTGAAAGTTGTCAGTCCCAAAATAAGACGTTCGTGCNACACGTTTTATTTCAGATGTGGATCACGTTGCCGAAAAACATGTACACTCAGTGCCAACCGAAGGACTCTATCAACATGGAAACAGCGTGCAAATAATGGTGCACAGACATGGGAGGTTTCGGAAGGGACTCTATCATGTTGTTATGAATTCTAATGTTTTGCATTTCTGTGATATGCAGGCAAGTTGTGCTTTTTGCCTTAGCAGAAATCTGGCAGATAAACTCAACAGCGATGGTTTTCTTATCTTATACCACCCGGCTTTACCTAGCTTAAGAGAAATACTCATGGGGAAATGACATAGAACTTGATATAGAACCAACCACAGCTAAGAAATGTCTTCAAGGAGCTACCTCTCCTATCATATCGCAAAGGAAAATCCCTAAAAGACATCCTTGTCAAAGCTAAGCTATAAAGGCTAAACAATCTTTTCCTCGCGAACTGCGTGCAGGAGTTGTGAGGCCCGTCAACACTTTTAAAACTTTATAAACCTCTTAAGCAGGCACGAAGCCACAAGCATTCTTAAGTAAGATTATTTTCTGCACGAATAATCAAGATGGTGTGAACAAAGGCCGTGAAAGTTGTCAGTCCCAAAATAAGACGTTCGTGCATTTACTGTGGGTTCCTCCATGCTTTAGCTCTTTGCAGATGGAGTTCCTTTTTTTTTTCCATCATACATATCTTTCTGGGTTCCCTTGCTTTTCCCTCGTCATTTCCCGTGTGTTCCGCTTTATGATAGATATTTTCCCGCCAACGAGGTGCGGGGAATGAAGCTCTAACTGTTCACATTATGCAACTGTAAATATTTTGTAATTTCACCAGCATTCATTAAAACCCCTTTTGGTACAATTAACAGAACTTACGAATTAAACCAGCACTTTGTGATAAACTAACCATCCCCATAACTTAGTTAGCAATTTATACGCTTTGTATTTCAAGTTGCCTTAGAGGGATGGTTTCACGGTTCAACGCATATGCAAGCTGTGACATTACATTGTTTATAAACCAGTCAGATGCGAGTACGTACGTAACTCGTCCGTCTGAGTCCAGAATAAATGGTTCGGCGCGAGTAACAAATTCGATGCTCATTTCTAAATTCGCCATTTTCTGTCTAAATTCGTTTACATCTTCCGTAAAATTTGGACAGCAGTCATTTTGCTAGCCTTCGTGTAGCCGTGTAGCCACTCAAAGGCTATCGTTACGCTTTCACAAAGTTATAGCCTGTGATTTCTGAAATACATCTAGTTGATACGAAAATGAAAGTATACCTTATGCTTGGAATCGGAACATACGGAAGGAATTCTTATGAGAAATCTCACCTATATCGTCATGTTTTCGCGACTGGCCGTGAAATTCTCAAAGGCAAATTTCCCGCAGGAGTCATTTGCACCGGCTTCCGATTGTTTTATAAACAGTGAAATTTAATGATTTAAACGATCAACCAGGGTAAGACGTAATTAAAATTTGAAAACGTTCTCTGATTAAGGTATCAGTATACCCCAAATGAACGTCATTCGTTGGCGCCGCTTTACGGTCGAACGTTTGACGCAAACTTCAGCAACGGATATATTTCCTGAAAGGTTAGGAATTTTAGAATACGAGGGTGCATTCATTGAAATAAAAAAAAATTAAGGTTTTCCAAATATAGCGTCCTATTTCCCAAAGTACAGAGGTCACTAATCAAATGCGCTTCCGGTCGGATTTGAGCGGGAGGACGCGATCAACATCGCCATGTCTTCTTGACACCTTTCTCTAAAAAAAGGTGTCGGGAAATTTCTATTACTTGTCTGGTTTATTTTTGGTACACAGTTAAACTTTGAGAGTTGATAGAACATGCATTCTCTTCACTAAAATAGTCATAACTTTTGAAAAAAGCCAAAAACAAAAATTCCCCGATACAGTTTTTTTAGCGTGATTATCGGGCAACGTTCTCTCCAAATTTCAGCGAAAAACGTTGAAAACTCATCGGAAATGAACTCAAAATGTGCGCTTCACTCCCTGAAATTTTCGTTTCGAGACATACATATACGAAGGAAAATATACTTCGGGGCGTTCTTGCCGTGTAATGAGATAATTACACAAAACGTGTGAAAATAATGTCGAGTTGATCGATAAAGCGAAGGCTCGTTTTCCTTTACACTAGACCTGCAGTATGCCAGGATTCCATGGTCTTCCTCACGCAAGGCGTTTTTAAAGTCAATAGAGTAGCCGTTCAACCATGCGTGAGTGGCAATGTTTGAACCTTTTTTATAGGTTTTCCTGTTCCTAATATGTTCTTTTTTCCTTGTTTGTAAACACCTTCCAGTTTCACCTATATAGTTCGACGGACAATCCGCACAGGGAATCTTATAAACAACATTTGTTTGTAGGTCGGCCGGCGGTCTCGACCTGGGGAAACAAACTCCTGTTGTAAGGTCTTTTTTTGAATTAATTTACAAACACACTATACATAGGAAAAACTAAACAAAATAAAAAGAGGAAAATAGCATTACAGCACAATACTTAGTTACAGTACAATATGATAGTTAAGACTGTTTACATCGTTTAGACGGTTTACACAGCTAAAACAATACCGTTTGTGGATGTCCAGTTTTTTTGTTTTAAAGTTTCGAACAAAAGGCTTCTCTGCATAGAAAATTTCGCAAGGTGTAATGTTTTCGAAGAAACCGGAGGCTGCATCGTTTGAGTTTTCAGGGTGCGTAGCCGAAGTGAAAAGAGCTTTATAATATTCCATTTGCTCTCGCAGAATCTCGAATTGATCATTTGTGACGGTACCGTTTGAACGTTTTAATTTTCCAATTGCCTTTTTGTTTTCATAGTTTCTTTACGCAAAGTAAGAAGTAACGGGTGTTGCGTTCGCCGTCTTCGTACCACCTCACCTCACTTCTTAGAATTGCACCTCTCGTCTTGTATAATCTTGTTTAGGCGTAGTCTGATGCTTTGAATTTCACAAATTAAGGTCTTTAGAGGTCTACGTGTACGGTCTTCAGAGGTCTACTAGTAGCTCGAATTTCCTTGTTTCTGAGTAGTCTTGTACAGTGATGTATCAATGGGCGACAAAAGTAGTTGAGACACTAGGAAATGACGCTTTTCGATGTTTAAGCACTAGTTCTATTTTATTTGCATCTAGCGTTAATTCTCTGATACCCTCGGTCCCCCAATTCAATGTTGTGTAGGCGTTGTGGTCTGTGCGGTCTAAGAAATAGGAAAATCAACATTGTTTGCGGGGGAGGAAGGCGAGAAAATGTGTCTAAGACACTCGGAAATCAAATATTTTACTGCCAAGTGTCTCAACACTTTTCTCGCCCATTGTCTATTTAGTAGTTATTTCTTGTTTCCATTCTATTTTACACCTGAAAGTTGAGGGACTCGTGAGTTGAATCTTCTGCTGCAGTATTCATATCAATGTGGCCCAAGATGTAGCTCCGAAAATATTTGAAAGAGGTTTCTCAAGTGCTTCTTTTCGCCGAATTTTTACTCGTAATCGATAGGAAAATGCTTAACTAGCTATTTCTTGTTGATTTCGAGTTAGGTTAAGACAGAGAAATAGCTTTTATGTTTTAGTGGATGTTATGAAATGGCCATAAATCGTAAAGTCATATGTAAACAGTACGCCAGCACAGAAAAAATATTGACGTGCCCAAACATTTTATGGCTTTTTTGAGAAATTTATTGATAGCTCTCACTATCCATGTTTGAATAATAAGTATTTGGTTTTGCCCATTGCAGATATTTGCCATCAATTAAAGGCTGTTCACAACACTACGAAATATGCAGCTTACTTAAGATGAAGCCACGGACAGAAATCAAATTGCCCAGTTGAAATGAAGGTCTTTGCTTTTAGACTGATAGTTGCATAACATGATCCAGTGGATTTCATTTTGACTTGGTTTTTCTTGTTGTAGAAATACTAAACCAAATATGGCTAATTAAATATGCATAAATTCGTGTCAAATGGCCATTTTTCAGGGGGTCCCCCTAACTTGAAGGGAATAAAATATTTTGACCTACTTTTTTTTGCCATAGTCATTCACTCACCAAACCCAACATTTAGGCCAAGTTTGAGCGAAATCGGTGATTTGAAGTGTATCACCTCCTGCCTGGTTCTGCCTGGTTTTCTCGTGGACACACTCTTAAGTTATTTTATCCTGTCAAATTCTTTTCTCTCTTTCCTTCTCCTCAATGCTCTTGTCTTTTGCTCTCGTATCTTCTCGGGATTATTTTTCCTCCATCTTTCCAACTGTTGGTAATGTTCATCCGACCTCCTACTCCTGTACCTTAGTTTCTGTTCTAATACTTTCTCTTTGTTTTCTTTCTTCCATTCTTTTTGTCTTTCTCTTTTACGTTTTAATGCAATCTCCGAGGTGGCAGGCATGATGCGCTCAAGACCAGCGAAAAAGCATTGCAAGTAACGAGAACAAGGCGATTCGACCTTTTATCCAAAGAAAACCCACCAATCACGGACGTCGAGTTAAGTCACGTGTTCCTAGGGGTACTCCCTACACCTGTCTGGGCTCGACGATCAAGATTTAATTCTTATCAAGAAACGACGAACATGAATTTCAAATTGTCGCAAAATTGTCGGCAAATTAGCGGCACTAGAGGAGAGGAGTTTGAAAATTTGCTCATTAAGGTAGCGTTAATTCAAGGTGCCCAAAGGAGATGTTGACATACAGTGTCAATATTCTCCAACACTTTTTTATTCATGGTTTACCTGACATAAATCTACATTTTGAAATAGATATTTGTGTTCCTCTGCATTCAAAGTTGAACATATGTTCATCCATGTCACCTTAAATAAAACTGCCTCAAAGAGACAAAGGTAACGAACAATGTTCAATTTGTGGATTCTCTATACCCGTCATCACGTGAAATTTAACTGTCAACCGTCAGGCACATGAAAATGTAACCTTTGACCGTTAGAAGCCCAGTTGTTCAAAGGGTTTATATAACTCTATATACTGGATAAACCACTGCATATGTAGTAGATAGCATAGTTTGTTTTGCTAACCGTGCACATATCCCGGCACTGGATAGCGATTTACCCGGCGGATAGCGTTATCTACCCTTTGAACAGCCCATCGATCTTCGTAGGTACGTCATTTATCACGATGATTTGGCAGTAAGTGTTATATATCCAGTGCCATATTTTAATAATTGCGAGATCGTAGACTCTCCTTATTAGAGGCACCTTTTTCATATAATGCTGGTGGCCGCTCAAGAGGTTCACTCCCCTCAATAGGCGGTCAGCTCCATTTTCTTTCCCCAAGAAGCCTGCTTACGGGAGCTTGGACTGTATTTAATAAGCTTCAATAACGGCGGATTCAGCCTTCCTCCTTTCACTCACCCAGCTAATAGAAGATAGAAGAGCGCGGTCTCTGAATGAAATTAATCTTCCGTTTTGTCCCTAGCTATACTGCATCGGTCAGTAGTGACGAAGCGAGCCCAAGAGTATTTAGTTTTTAATTGATTTGGCCCTATTATTGCAAGTTAAGCTTTGTTCAAACAAGAAACAAAAGGAAGCCATGTTCACTGGCGGGTAAAGCGATAGTTGGATTCATTTTAGCCCGCTTGATACAGAAAATAAAAGATAAAAATATGAATATATATTTTACCTACGAATCTCGAGATACTCTAAAACCGTTTAATTAATAAACAGTTTGTTTTGTCAACATTATCTCAAAATTGAATATGCAACACAACGTAAAATTCGAAATATAAATTGTAAACAATTATCCGTCGTTGGTTCACGTTCCACTCAAACGCAGAATTTGGTCATTTCGCGTTGATGTTTTACAGAGGACGGCAGAGAAATGTACCAAGAATTATAATGCACGTGCACAGCCATTGTATGGCTCATTAAACCTTTTCTTTAGCGACGTTCCCATTGCCCTCTCCGTTGTGGTTTCGTTAACTCGTTTCAAAGCCTGTACAGTTCTACTTCTAAAATGCTTTAGGAACTGAAGGAATATTTTGTCTACAGAGAGTAAGTTTTAAGCCAAGGATAGACGTAAGACATATTTATTAAGAATTTTTTTCAGAATTCCTATCTCCTAGAACCTGCTATAAATATTCCTGTACAAACTTTTATGTTTTCGCCGTGACTGCTATTATGTATGCGAAACAAAATAAGATCTTTGTTTACTAGACAGGTTGACCTTGGACTACCAGCTGCTCAGTCGCAGAAGAACTATAGATGGCGGCTTCGACGTGGCTAATAAGAGCAGTGTCTCCTCGCTTTCACCGCAAATTGTCGCATTTAAGGACACTACCCAATGGCTTCAAGACGTTAAGAGTAAGTTGTCATGACATTTGCCTTTTTGGATCGGTACGTTGATCAAAACTGTAAGAAAATTCTCGAACCGGTATTTGTTCCAGTATAATTATTCTCACGGCTCAGCAGCTCGCGAGTCGAAGACACCGAGTTTTATATATTCCAGCACTCGGTGGCTCCTTCGTCAAAACATTCCGAGTCAATGAGACTAGCTAGGTTATCTAGTAATTTTCTTAGGCAAACTAATTATCACTTCTCAAGTGGTTCAGGCACTCGTTCGTCGATTGAAACGGAACGAATTATGAAGTCTTTCAAACAAATGGAAACATCGGAAAGGGCTGGATTATCTGAGGGGATAAGGGGGTGTGGGTGATTTGACCCGTTTTAAAACAATTTCATTCTCTAGGAAATGTTTAATTCTCGAGACGTGCGTATGTATGTAATTTGTTTCTCCATTTAACATGCTATTTTTCGGCCCACTGAACATGCATGAATATTTTTGGAACAATTACGCATGCCTGCAGGATAATTTTTTCAATTAATCACCCACCCTACTCTCTAAAGTCAAACCATCCACTCCCGCACTCCTTAGTTTATAAATATGCTCGGCAGTTCGCTGGCTCCGTAGTTCGACTGTCCAGTCGCCTGTCTCGGCGAATCGCTCATACATTTTCTTAAAGGAAAACCCCGTTAATACGGCCACCTCGACAATACGGCCAACATCCACATTCTGAAATCCCAGCCTGTATAATCCTTTATAATTTTACCCCGTTTTATATAGCCACTCAAACCAGTTATGTTCATTTTTCCTTTGTTAATATTGTATGTACTGATTGAAGTTTCAATTTTTTTTCGAATTATATCAGCATTCCGGATGATAATTAAAGAACAGTTGTTTAGAAGTGCAGATGTGATATATCTGTTAGCTTCAGTTAAGAGATCAGTCAATTTAGACCAGTCATGAAATTTGACCCTACCCCGTTAATACGGCCAAATGTTCACGGCCCGTCGGTGACCGTATTAACTGGGTTCCACTGTAATCAATTATCTTTTCAGTACTGCACCGGTACCGGAAGTTCCGAACCTGACCATCAAGACAAACCTAGATTTCCAGGTGCTCTGAATTCATGTTATACCGAAAAATTGGAATTTGATGATCCTGAAGATGGCGGAGTTATTCCTGTGTATCGGGTTATGGGTCGTAACGGAAAAGTGTATGACGAAGCACTCGATCCCAAGGTTTTCATTTCATTTTTGTTTGTTTGTTTTTTTTGCAGATCTAAGAAGTGACAAATTGTAATTCACAAAAATTAAATGAGTACCTTAATGAGAAGGCCAAATCTTCAACACATAACCGAGGGTCTCCCAGGGGTTTTGGGGAACAAGGGCATATCCTGGGGATTAATTTGAGGGAACACCGGATATCTCTACTATTGAAGGAAACTTTGACCAAAATAAGGGGGAGATTGTATTTATTAACAGGGAACAAGGGCGAAACTCCGAAAAGTAAGGGAAATTTTAAAGGGATCAAGGGAACATGATACCCCCCTCCCTGGGAGACCCTAAGAGCTAGCGCATTTTACCAAATGACGTCAGTCAGAATGATTTAACTGAAGGCACCTCTCTTAGTTCCTAACTCTCTTCTGGGAGAATAGGGCCATTGACTTTTCTCGTCCAATCTGCTCTGTCTCTTGCAGTGGCGACAGCTTCACTCCAAGTGGCAAACCTTGCTAGCAGTGATTACTGCTAGCAACAGAAATTGGGGCCTCATTTTCTCTTTTTGCTAGTTATTAGTTTTATAACTATTATCACCATCAAAGTCATTGGCTCATTAACTACTCATGATATTTAACATCATTTATCTTGTGTTTATTGCTGATATTTAATGTTTTCAAGCTGGACAAAGAGAAAATTCAAGATCTGTACAAGAAGATGACTCTGTTGAATACAATGGACCGCATCATGTATGATTCACAGCGACAGGTGATGATTCGTCACGAGGCCTTCCCCATATGTAATGCCTTTTCCCATCCCCCGACCAGCCCACTCTTTTGCGAAGAATTAAAAAAACAAAATGATTTTGAGTTTTTTCCTAGTTTAATACGTTCTATATATGCCGCTTCAAGTGATCCTGACATCTAAATAAACCCTCGTAACGCCATCTTCGAACACTTTTTAGCGTGACTTCCGAAATATCTTACTCTACATCCTCTCTTGTCATTGATTGCAGTCTGGACTTCATGAGACTCGACGGACCATGATTTTGTTGAGGGTTGGAGCGGGGGAATTGGCAATTTTTTGTGGCATGAAACTGTTTTCTCACCTTGAGGTTGTGCATGATTTGTTTTTGTGGGCAATAAAAACTAATTATAATGGTCCATCCCTGAGAAACACAAAAAAAGTACTTTGTGCTTACGCATGCCTGCACATGCACCGAACAGTGAAACTATCGTTTTGAAATCTTGGAGAAAATCTGCGGTCCCCTGAGACAGCGTTTAGCAGAGTTGTCACCCTCGTAGCCAGCTGTAGACAATGATCCATTTGTTATACCTTCTAATCTTTAGTGATTCTCATATATTTCCAACTCTAGGGGCGTATCCCATTTTATGTGACCAGCTACGGTGAAGAGGCGACATTATTTGGTAGTGCCGCAGCCCTTTCACCTGAAGACGTTGTATTTGGTCAGTATCGTGAGGCTGGTGTCTTGCTGTGGAGAGGATTCACATTAGATGAATTCATGAACCAGTGCTATTCTAATCAACATGATCATGGGAAGGGCCGGCAGATGCCTGTTCACTATGGCTCGAAAGATCTAAACTTTGTCACCATTTCCTCTACTCTGGCTACTCAAATGCCTCATGGTTAGTCCTAAAAGAAACAGCTAGTTGTTTTTGTTTTTTTTTTTTGCAAGGTTTAAAAGAGTTCAGTCACCGTATTTTGAGTTATTTTGGCCGTGTACAGAGTTACCTCAAATTGAACAAACCAGAAAATAGTAGTTGACTGAGATGGAAAAACACCAAAGAAAAAAATAATAAACCATAAAGGAATAAGGATGGCTAACGATGGAGAAGATTACAGGGATTACAAATGAAGAACTTGAAACATTTAGGCGAAACTTTTCAAGATGTGTAGACTGTGACGTAGTTTCTTTAAAATCAATTATCAAACGTGAACTGCTGGCCAAGGTGGATATACTCTTCAACATCCCAAAACAGCACCTCGTGGCAAAAAAATTTATACCTCTTGGAAAGCGACCTGGTCGTTCCTAAATCCCCGAATTGTATTTTTTATACTGATAATCAGGAGATATTACATGTGGCGATGCCGCTCGTGAATATTAGACTTTGTCCAGCAATTTCAACAGTACCAAAATCCATTTTTTCTTGTTTTCGTCGACATGGCAGGGGATCGTAGAGTCATGTGCAAACAGACAAACCCTCTTGTGTTCTGATATCTTCAATGGTAGTTTCGTTTGACCGAAGTATACAAGGTTGCAGTTGTCGCAAATGATTTCATGTACCGTGCCAGATTTTGTCAATTTTTGGGCCTTGGACGTGGAACTGTTCATGCACAGTTTTTAGCCCAGTTTTTACTTGACAGTCGAGAGTAGTTGGCTTTTTTTGGTTCTGAATTAGTACGCTGCGCGATTAGAAAACTTAGAAACTCGCGCCACTCTGTCATCCAAGTCAGAATTAAAACCAAAACGTGATTTTCTCGCACATGTTTTCCCGCGCCTCGCGTCAGCAACAGCTACTTGCCTCGAAATTTGATTGGTTCCCTACATTGTCTGTCTCCTTTGTGATTGGCCAGAGTGATAAGTGCTTGTAATTTTGATTTTAGTTTTACGACACGTCATTGGAAACCTCTCTTATGGTCTGAATTGAAGGGCGTTTCGGTCAAACGGAACAACCATTATGAACACGGATCTCAAAACACTGACCCTCTTACAAAAAACAGACTTAGACATAGCATTTATTTTTGGACAAGTCTGTCCAAGAGGGAAAGGCGCAATGAGGTTAATTTAACTTATGTGAAGCCCCAACAAGTGAAACAAATCCGAACCACAACACCGGGAACTCCGTTCCTACTCTTTATAAGTGTGTGTGGGTTCTTTAACGTCCCATGCCAACTATGTATCACTGAAGATTCAGGAGACGGGGCCCACAGTTTATAGCTCTTATCCTAGAAAAATTGATCGTCTAACCATTTGCAGATGTATTTGCAAAGGCAGCACATTGTCCTCAGTTATTTTAAGACCCTGATCTTAATCTCTTGATATCCTTTCAATTAAAATCTTATTTTAGCTTCTGGATATGGTTATGCTTTAAAACGAGCAGGCACTGGCAATTGTGTTATCTGTTATTTTGGAGAAGGAGCTGCAAGTGAGGGAGATGCCCATGCCGCCTTCAACTTTGCCGCCACACTGGAAGCTCCTGTTATTTTCTTCTGGTAAGCTAAAAAATTAAAATGTTCAGAAGTATTTATTTATAGTTTGAGTTGACAGATGTCTATCTCTTTTCTTCTTATGACTAATTCATCGTTTTCAGTACAAAATTGTTCAGGTTGAATTGTGTATATGTAACTGTCATTAGACAAAGTTGATGGGCATGCAAACAGAAACATGCAATTACACAAAAAGCTACTTGTATGTTTTTCCTTTACGGTTGTCCTTTTAGCAACCTTTCCCTCTCCTCTCATAAAGGTTTCAAAAAATGTATAAATGTTTAGTATTGTGTAGTACTGTTAGTTTCGTGTCACATTTTAAATTTTAAGAGGGAATGCTACACAATATTAAGACGGAATCGACCAGAAGTTCGAGTAACAAGTGGACAAAAACCTAGCACCAAGATTATTTACATTGTATTGCAAACTTCTGTACGACTGTTTTAAATATCTTCTCATAAAAAATCATTTCTAGCAACACCAAACGTCGAAAACGAATGTTGAACTTCATATGAAACACTTGAAAGTACTGGGAAATGAAACTGATGATGAAATTTTGCCTCTGTTTGCACAAGTTCTCTGAACTTTGAAATTTATTTTCTCTCGTTCCCATGCGAAATTGTTTTCGGTGTTATTTCAGGCAATTACTTATGTATTTAGCTTTAAGAAAATGTAAAAGTGAGTGTAAAATACTTAAAATTATTCTGGTACCAGATTTGTGTCCACTAAAACCTGAAATTGCTCGATTTTCTATCGGATTTCGTCGTAAGTCCCTTTTTCTATAAAGTTATCCTTTGATAAAAGAAAGCCCAGTCTTAACTGCCTGTAGCTATAGCCTTGGGTACTAAATGAGAATGTTTGGTGATTTCTAAGCCTGTTGTCAATATAGGAGAACAAACGGACATCTTGATCTCCCTCCCCTCCTGCACTTAGTCAACCCAAAATGTTATACTGATCATGATGACAGAGCTACTGGAGGTCTGATGGAGAACTGATTTAAATAATTTGTTGTTTCTCAGTTTTCGTACCCAAGTAACAACCAATCGATCTAGGATTCTACATCCAGGCTCCGTTGAACCATGTGCGTCAACCTTATATAATTTTTTGGGTTTTATCTCAAATGTCCTTTGAGTGGCGAAAGAATTGGGCTTCTGAGGAAAGGCGTTTATTTTTATACTCAAAACTTAACTCAGTAAGGAAAGGAAAATCCTGTAACCCAAGAGCAGGGTCAAATATTTGGTTGTATAGTTATTTGCCGGAATGTGATGGCAAACAGTCTAAGAGCATACAAGTGAATATACAAAAGATCATATATTGGAACTGTGGAGAAAGATGTGACGACGTGATTGATCATCGCAGTAATATTAAAAAATTAAAATTTAAGCCGGATAAAAATTCAGGTTTGAACGGGATTCGAATCCATGACCTCTGCGATACCGGTGCAGAACTCACAACGTGACCAGCTCCCAGTTGGCTTAATAGCTCAGTTTGTGGAGCACTGCACCGGTGTCGCAGCGGTCATGGGTTCGAATCCCGTTCAAGCCTGAATTGTTTTCAGGCTTTAATTTCACAACTGCTTAAGGTTAGTTGTGTGCATAACTGCAATGATCAATCATGTCTTCAAATCTAAGAGCGTCTTATTCAACAGCCGTAACAATGGTTATGCCATATCAACCCCAACCAGTGAACAGTACCGAGGAGACGGAATAGGTTTGTAGTTTTCTTTTGTGCATGGTTATTGTTCTCCAGCTTTGGTCAATAACCAATAAATATTTTGAACTCCACCACTGTTGTTGCTTTGGTGTCTGGTCATCATGCATGGTTAATAATTAGTTGTCCGACACGTTTCTTTTAAGCTGGACATGGAAGAGGTTATGGGATAAAAGCAATTCGTGTGGATGGCAACGATGTCTTTGCCGTTTATAATGTCACTAAAGCAGCTCGTGAGATTGCAGTGAATCAGTCAAGACCAGTCATTATTGAAGCTATGACTTACAGGTTAGATACAGTGCTAACTTATTGCCTTAGCGTGCATCATCGAGTAATGATTCACGCGGAAAGTTTGGAAGCACAAAAAGAAGCGTAACAGGCGCTCGAGTTGCTCGACGCGCAGCCGAAAACAACCCTAGCTCCTTGAGTGTTTTTCAAACTCCTCAAGTGCATCATGTCTCGCAATTATCGATTGTTTAATAAGTTGCCTATGGTCATAAAAGTACGAGAACCACGACTCTTGCGAGAAAACAATTCAATAGCCCTTTTCGCGGTTACCTTTGCTCATTTGCATTACAATAAAATCTAGTATGTATGTGAGGCAATTTCGGGCTATTTTGTAGTTTTAGCCCGAAATTGCCTCGCATCTACGTTGGATTACATCGTAATGCAAATGAGAAAAATTAATCGTGAAAAGGGCTATTCTCTGGCGAAGCGAAGTTATCTTTGCTCGTTACCATGTCACCAGCGTGCAAAATTTAATTTTTATTGCTTAGCTTTGCTAGCTACAGAGCAGTTTTCAACTGAGTGTTGTAAAACCAAAACCAAAGTAATCACTTTGGCCAATCAAAAAGAACACAGACAATCTGTTTTATCCTTTTATTTAGGGAAACGCCATAGGGTCGACCTCTAGTTTTCCTTTTCAAGATGTGCTTTTTCTCGTGTTTTATTTTCATCATCTTGAATAAAACAGGCTGTCATCATCATCATCATCATTATTTAGTAAACCAATCAAAACTCGACGCAACTACTTGTAGCTGACCAAAGCGCGGGAAAACGAGTAGGAGCGAGTTACGATTGGTTTGAGTTTTACTTCTGATTGGATGAGAAAGTGGCGCGAGAATTTTCTGGCAATCGTGTAGGATCGTGTAGCGTAGTCACTAGTTGATGCAAAACCAATTAATTTTCCACACCTAATTGAAAACCGCTCTATACACGTTATTATACTATTATTTGCAAGACTAATTAAATTAGCTTCCGTTTTTATAAACTTAAACTAAATTTACACCCATCTGGAACCTCGCAAGCGAGAGTTAATTTTCCTAATAACGACAAATAATTATCACTTTTTCACAGAATTGGTCACCATAGCACAAGCGATGATTCCTCGGTGTACCGCTCGCTAAAGGAAGTCAGTTACTGGGACAAAGAGGACCATCCTATTGGGAGGCTTAGGTATGTACTTGAAGTAAGCACTACACACAGTTAAGGTCGCACTTGAGTCAAACTGACGCAGGGTGACAGAGCTCATCCCTTGTTAGGCTGGTTTCCACAACATGAAGCGACTACCGCCTCTGGCTTTAAAGGCATGCTANAACCTAGCTTTTAACTCCTTATTTCCTCCCCAAAAAGTGAAGTGTGATAAAACGAAATGTGATTTTATCATGAATGATCTAGACAGTACATGGAGAACAAAAGATGGTGGGACAGTGAAATGGAAGAGCAGTGGAAACGTGATTCTCGTCAGCAAATCTTGGCAGCCTTTTCAAAAGCTGAAAAAGAACTTAAACCACCAGTCAAAGACATGTTCAATGATGTCTATGACAGTTTGTCTCACCGTCTGCGAAAACAGCACCAGGAATGTATGAATCATGTAGCGAAATACCCTGAGGAATATCCGAGTGAACTACATGCAAAAGATGAGTAATCTTGAGGTGCAACGCTCAATTTAAAGAACAGATTAAAAGCGCTGTTTGTGTAGATACTTAACTATAGGCCACGTTCGATATATCAATATTCTAACAGGGCTACGAGGCTTTCGGGTCAAAGTTGCATTTTTTAAAAATTTCTTTTGTTTCACAATTCCCAAAAGAGACTTGGAAACAAAGAAAACAACACCAGATGTAGACGTTTGTCCTGAAAGCCTCCAATCCATGTCAGAAAATTGATATATGGAACGTGGCCTATTATTTATTCCATATGCATGAGCGCGTGTTGGATGTGATGTGAGATGTTAGACAGCCCACGAGGCGCGTAGCGCCAAGTTGGTTATACGAATCATATCATATCCAACATTCCCGAGATAGAAAAAGACAAAGATAAAAACACCCCAAACATTACACGTATGCTTACCATATTTGTAGAGTATGGTATAAATAAACAACAGCTTCCATTTGGCGCGGATATATTCTCGAATATTTGTCCGCGGACACTATCTGTTCCGAGAAGCGAACAGTTTTCCGAGGGCAAAGCTCGAGGAAAACTGTGAACTTTGAGGAACAGATAATGTCCAAGGACAAATATCCGAGTATATTTTCGCGCTAAATGGGGGCTATTGTGTTTGTTATCTTTCAAATGTTTTTCGCAACATGCGCTGTTTTGAAAATTGGAGAATATCACGCGGATATTCCCCAGTTTTAGCTGAGGAATATTCAGTCGCGTGACGCGTTTAAACCAATCACGCCCAAGCAAAAATATATGATGGATTATAATTGCTCATATACCAAGATGGCTAAGCCAATGAAAACTCTCGAATTGCATTATCCAGCGGTTTAGTTTTTAATAAAGGCAAAATATAATGAGCAGAGTGTGGGAAAATCTACAGTACAGACATGCACGTAAGGTTACAGTGTAGGTTTTTTTATTAGGCATTATTATTTCAAACAGTCTAAATTACAAGTTGCTGTTCAAAACAGTGAGCCTATACTCGTGGGCAGTAGAAATGGGTTAAGCTTGGGTTCAAAACAGCCCTATTTCTAACGAATCCACAAGCCCATTATTAGGGGCACAAAACGTCAGAATTCAACGAATAAGCATTTTTAACGCAGTTTTTTTGTAGTTGCTGGCAAATTTAAATCTGTTCCTTTTTCTCAGCAGAAACTTCACAATTCACTTCTCAGCAAATTACTTCGAAGGCATTGCTAGCAAGATTTGAATGCACATATAACAGGAGTAATGGGCTCCTGCATCCACTTAACACCCTTGAGGGTGTAGTCCCAGAGTTAAATATACACCGTCCTTTGCCAAAGGAGGGAGGGGTGAGAGGAAGAGGGACAACCTATGGGAGATACTAAGTTTCCGTTATAAGGTTAGGTTACTCACAGTGAGTGTTTAAGGATTTTTCAAGCGAACAGAAAATAGGCTCGCGAACGGATATTTCAAGGAACAGATCTGTTTTGTGCCCCCTGTCCTCACATTACCGCAGAATTTTGCAAAGGTCCAACATCTTTGCAGAGGTTAATTTAAATTTCTAAGATAACAATTTAGGCCCTTNAATAATAATAATAATAATAATAATAATAAACACCATTGAGATCCCGGTGCAGTGCCTTGAAACGTTTCTTCCAGCCTTCAATCAGCGGAGTTACAATTTCAATTTACCCTTTCTTTTCTTTAGAGTGTCATTTCCCCCTTGAATCAAATGAAAATTCCCCGAGATTTCCCTGGCCTTGAAGAAAATTTTTCCCCTGACCATTCCTGACCTGTGGCAATCTTTTATCCCTTGGTTATAAACTCGTGTCTTTACTGACAAAGAAAAAATTCTGGCTATTAACCGTACAGAGCACTTGTACGATATAAATGGAGGTATGTTTTGTTAGTTTCTACCACACAAGCTTAAAGTGCTTTTCACGCGTCCTGATTGGTTAAGAACTCGGAGGTGCTTAGGAAAGAACACCATTCACCTCCGAGTAGAGATTTGAAATTTCCGTCCATTTGTTGGTTTATAGTCAGAAATAAAGTAATTTTTGGGTGCACTAGTTATTTAGCCTGTGTAGTGTACAAAAACAATTATTAACCTCAGGATCGGTGAAAGTAGTGGATATTTCCCTCACCTCTTCGCGGCTCGTCACATAACTGTTGTTTCACGCCTACGCGAATTACGTAATAGTAAATACGATATTTTTCTTTTAAGCAAAAACAACCCGACTGCTCATATGTAAGGCAGGTTTCCACCCTTTTCCTTTCAAAGTTAGGGTCAGGATCTAAATAAGTTGGATTTTCGCGTGAGTTTTTAATCAGGAAATGTAAACATTGCTTTGGAAAACCAACGGCTCCTCCTTGCAGCCTTGCAGGGTAGGCCCCTTTTTCGCGGGAAATTTGCCAAAATTACCCACAAGTCATTGGAACGGGCGTTGTACGCAAGCGCAGTAACACCCATAGTATTTTCTCTGACGCAAAGGGTTTACTCTGATACAAACATGTCGATGTCTGGGTTGCTGGTTTCATTTTCGACAAATTTCTCCGATTTTCACACTGGCAGGCTATGGAAAAGGGCTACAGTGGTTTGAGGAGGACGTAAGTACTTTTTACTTTGACCAGTTGAGCTTCTGTTTCGATTTAGATTGAGTTTGTGTGCAATTTTTCAGGCGAAAACGTGCACATTCGTCCAAGTGCCCTTGTTGCTATTCGTCGGAGGAAGAACCGGAAAATCATGCAAGCGCCAAGAAAGAGGTGTGTTGAGTTGCTGTTTGCTGCCTTGAAAAGATACGATCTACTACAAGATCCGGTGAAATTTATTCAAATCTTTTTAGAAACGCTTTGGAGGTAAGCTTAATCTCGGCGACAAAAATTTGCGTTGGTGAATTGTTGTGAATTGTCCCTGCTCGGCGACCATGTGACGGTGCGGTTGGTGCGTTATCAAGGAAGCACGCTAGTCTTGCAGAGTTTACACGGTCAAATCTGTTTTTATCGTATACATAGGTTCCAATTTAGATCAAGTTAGAACTGTACAAGAAAATTGCAGCGATTGTGAGTCGATGAAACCGTATTCATGTTTTTAAAGTTCCAAAAGTTTGTTTCAAGAATTCACTCTTGTGTCACCGTGCAGGGTGCAATCAGCTCATCTTTTTTGAGGTCTCTAGCGCGATGTTTGTTTACTGTTCAACGTTAATGTAATAATATTTCTATGGCTCGATCGGTCGATCACATTGTAACGCTTAGCATGCATATTAGATACAGATGATTTCAAAAATGTACTGCGAAACGATTTTGATCTTTTCTCGTAGACCAACGCCATGTGGTCAATATATCGAAATTATGCAGCTCTCGACTATTTGTAGGAGTCAATCAAAACACGAAAGTAAATGTCGTGAATTTCAAAGCTGCTTGATGTTTTTGCGGAGAGTAACATAACTGATTTTCAACCTATTTATTGCACTTTCTGTTTTTAACATCCTGTTCCATAGAGATAATATATTAAGGTAATCGAAACTAGCACAATTTATATGCGCGCGGGAGTAACAAATTTGGCATTTGCCCCGTACGAAGACAGCATCGAATCAATTTACTTCGACGTAGTTGTCTAATTTTAAGCCATACGTCACTTCGTTGGTATCCAAGCATAAAAACTTGTTTTCGTTTTATGTAAACGAGATTGCTGTACAGAGCAACTTGGATTTAAACCCCACTCAAGTATAAATATTGTTGCCTAATTTTAATTTTCTGTAGAATGAATTGCTTTTAGCTGTCTGCGCTTGAATATATTCGAGAAAAAAAGACATTTAATTTTCCAATCGATTTAACAATTTTTGTGGTATCTATGACCCAGTTACTTGTAAAGCAGCAGCATATAAATCTCTCAAAATAATATGGTACACTTTCTTTGTACAATAATATTTTTTGGTCTCTCGAATTTTAAAACAAGTGCATGCGGTATGTTTGTTTATTCAGAGGTGTATTTACCCACACTGCAGGCCCCTAACCTTGACTTATGTAATGTGATTCGAACCTTAAATTTCATATTTAAAATCATGAAGTGCGAGTAAATTATTCAGACTGTACGTAGAGCACAACCTTAATAACGTCAGTCTCACTGTCAGATTTTATACGATTTTTCAAGATTGTAAGTAGCTCTCTTTGGGAAAACTAAGCAAATCAGACAGTTCCCACAGCTGCAGGTTCTTAACTTTGTGCATAACTGGCGTGAAATGTGTGTTGGAACTTTTCACACCTGCTTTCCTAAACTTTTCTTAAGAATTTGGTTTCCTCCAGGCTGATTGCCTTAAGTGATATATCAGAGAGCGATAAACTCATAATATTTTCATCTAAAGCCCAAATTTTGCTTATCTTAAGATATTCATTAATATTCCTAAGAGTTAGTCGAAAAAAAAAAACTTACTTAATTCTGTTTTTCACTGCAGAGTGATTTCAAAATGACTTTATTTTGCTGTAAAAAATCGTGTTATCATATCAATCAATCAACAACTTTATTTTGTGTCAAAATAAAAGGAAAAAAAAAGAAAAAGAATTAGTCAACATATAAAAAGCTATATAACCATGGAATCAACTCCTTGGCTAATCACAGAGATATCTTCGAGAGGGAAAGAAAATTTGTAAGATTGTGTTTGCCGTCGTAAATGACTTTGACAGGGAAGATATAGAGGAAGATGTAAACAGAGGGATTTGTTTTATAGATGTCACCCTGAAAGGAGTCCATGGGGTGGTGGAGGGGGTACTCCCAGAAAAATTGGGTGGGGTGTACAGCCCACTTCCCAAAATCCTTACCCTATTGGTCACCAAAATCTGCAATTATCCCTACCCTATTTATGACGTGACCGAAACTTCATTACGTTGTTTATGACCTGACCCTTAAATCAATACCCTGTGTTAGACCTGCCTTATGATTAGTCTGCCAGTTCAGACCAATGTCAAATTGCTGTGAACATAATTTGTGAAGAGCTTTTGTTGATGGTCTTATCAATAATGATGAAAAAGTAGCTTCTTCATAAAAATATACCTATATAAAAACTTGAGTGCAAAAACCATGCCCTATTTAGGACCAAAATGGCCAAAATCGATTTCCTATTTATGACCAAAATGGCTGAAAACCCCTAGCCTTTGAGACTGCATATACCTATATAACCCATATAAGGGAGCACCCCTGCAGCCCACAGAAAGGAGATAGTATTGAAATAACACTGCCACTTTGTGCCCCTCCCCAGCCTCCCAACACCTGGACTAAATTGGGTTAAGAAAATACTAGAGCTACTAACTAAACCTGAATTTTTAGTAGTCTGTGATTAGCTGGCTACTGTTCATCTTAAGCACTACGAATCATTTTTAAACTGAAAAATTCACTGTTATTTCTGCATTGTTGTACTTTTCATAATGGTAAATTATATTTTTGACATCTTTTTAGAAGTTAAAAGAGGGTACTCCGAACAATGGAAAACGAACAAGCACGTAAGTTTCTGGAATTAGATGTGCTAAATAGATGGTTGAATAAATCGGTCAACAAGTTTTTGTTTTGCTGTGTAAATAGTAACATGTTATATAACCAAGATTTATAAATATACTTAATTTTGTATGGTTTCTGTCCAAAATTGACTTTTCATCATCTTCATCATCATGACAATCATTGAAGGGAATATAATCCTTTACTGGAATGTGTAGTTCCAGAAAATATCTATACCTGCCCCACAGAAGGGATTTTTTTCTAAGACCCCCCACCCACCCCTCTGGAGATTCCAATTATGCTTCATACATTTCTTTCAATTTGTTTGTCTTACAGAACCCTCCCATCCCTGGGAAATTCCAAAGCCTTCTGTGTTGGGAGTATGGACATTTTCTGGAACTGCTCAGTTTCTGAAAGGGGTCGAGGGAGGGGTTCAAGCCCCAGAAAATGTTCTATGGGTGGAGAGGGGAGGGGTGGGGGAGGAATAATTATTATGGCTGTTTACTGGAACAACATGTCATGACATGATTTATACATAATATATATTGAACCTAACATCGTGGCCATGATAGAAAAGTAAGGTTAATAAAAAAAGTGATCGCAGCAGTGTGAGCTGTTAATTTTCCACATATAAAACAACTTGGAACTGCTGAGAGGTTTGGAGATGAGGGTAATACAAGACCGGAAATTCCATAGGAGAGAAAGGGGAGGGGTCGTCATAAACACCCTAGGGCTAGGGTTAAAATGAAAAAACTTTCTGTAGAGGGTATGGTTATTTTCTAGAACTACACTACATGTATATATGTATAGATTATTACTGTCTTGTTTTTCATCTTCAGGAGAAAGAAGACAAAAATTGTGGAAGATGATTGTAATGATGTTAAGGATGTGAATGAAGACACGATAAGCTTGGATGAGTCTGTTAGCAAAACACCCAAAGGAAGCAAACTCAAGAAGGCAACAACACCAGAGAGATCCAAGAAAAATGCGATCAAAGGCAAAACTGAGACTTCAAGTACTTTAAATGGTGAGGTTTCTAGTCTAAAGAAGAAACAGAAAAGCAAAATAGCAAAAGATCGTGTTATAAAGAAAGCTAAAACTGGCCTGTCGACATTGAAGAATCAGAAGAATGAAAGTAAGGACAGTACAGAAGAGACAGTGTCACATTCAAGTCAACCAAGGTCGGCAAAGTTAAGGAAAAATAACACCAAACAAAGTGGTGTTGGAGACACTGACAAGATAAACGCTGAAGTGAAAGAAAAATCAGTGAATACTAGGCAAAATATCTCTAAGCCAAAGACTGCAACGTCCTCTAGAAACAGTGGGACACAAAAATCAAACAGTAAAGATGTGGCTGGTAGAAATGGGCTTGCTGAAGAGGAGAAATCTCTTAGTGATCTTAAAAGATCTGGCACTAAAGGAAGCAAAACAGGACATGGTAAAGTAACCAAGAACAGAGGTAAAACTAGCAGCTCTGCGGATTTTTCAAGCAGATCATCCCATGAACTGAGTAAAGGGGAAGAAAACATTTCTCTGACAAGCAGGAAACACCCTAAATATAGTGTCAGCAGTAGTAGCCTCTCTGCAAAGAAAATTGATGTGTTTGATCACTTGTTTTGTGAACTAAAAAAGTGCCAAGGATTTAGCAAAGTAACAGTTTCCTCTGCTGCAGAATTGCTTCTCAAACTGACAGCTGATAAGTTGACAATTCTTGTTCATGGCCTTCCATCAAAAAGTGCAAAAAGAAGGGCAGCTTCAAGTAAACTGGTAGGTGATAATGTGCCCTCTCCAGAAAAACCCAGAGCATCTAGCTCTGTTAGTGAACCAAAGAGAATGCGTACAAGCTCTGAGCAGTCTCTATCACCTTCTTCATCATCTCCAGAGAAGACTGGATCAGGAAAATCTGAACAGGTGAAACTATCCCAAGCAGCTGAAGCATTAGTCAGCTTCCGTACCAATCCCACCATTTTGCGACAGGAGAAAACCGAAGCAGACGTTCCATCAGCAGAGTCATCTGATGTAGCCACCACCAACACTGGCATAAATGCAGGAAAGAACTCCATACCTAAGGACTCGTACACTAATGATAAGGTTGTTGATGCAAACATGCAAATTCTGACAACTGCAAATGAAGTGAGAGTCTCACAGCCTCCCAACAGTAGTTACATGAGTGCTCCATCACAGAGTCAAGCTACATCTCAACTGCAGTCCAGTCTTGTTGCACAGGAGTCTTTGCACCAGCCTTTTAGACTTCCAGCAAGCATTGAAGCCAGTTTGCAGCAAGTAGCAAGTGCACCACACAATTTGATGAACCTGAGTCAGTTTACATCACAGTTAAGCGCTGTGCCAACAGCAGTGCCACCCCAGATCAGCCCCAGATTAACCGCTCCCAGCTCACTGAATCCTTCCTCAGCCATTATGAGCTCAAGAATGATGAATCCAGCAGAGGTGCAAAATATACAAGCCTTATTCTGCAGACCAACACAGCCTCGCAATATTCAAGCATCAATGGCTGTGCAAAGTGCAGCTCCTTCTCTGCCACCCAGCAGCAATAACCCCCAAGCCCAACCACAACAACCGTTGAAAGGGATGGAAGATGTTGTCAGCTGCGTTGGCTCACGGACTACAGCAAATTTGTTGTGGAATATAAAGCCTGCAGCGCCTGTTGTCTATCTAACTAGCCCACAGACGCTGAGTGGAGTCAGAGCCAGGAACTACATACCTCAGAGTGAAGGGCATTCACCTGTACCTCTTACAACAGGCATGGCCAGTGTTCAGTCGGTGGGAATACCGAAAGTTTCTGTGAATTCTGCTTGCTCCAGTGTCTTGACGCTGGGTAAAGTCACTTTGGTAAGCCAGGCTGTTCCCTTGTCAACATCTCAGGCTGCCAGCATGAGCAGTCAGCGTCCAATTCTTCCCTGTGAACAGAGGACGGCACCTGTGTTTCCTGTTGGAAACCAAAGTGCATCACAGCTTCCTGTGACAACGATGATGGGGCAGATCGCAAGCAATATCCAACCAATCAGACCTGGAAACATGCCTGTGCAATTTAGTGGTTTAGCAGCAACATCTCCTCTGAATATGAGACAAACATCTGCCATGGTTGTTACACAAGCACCGCATTTTACCACAGTACAGTCCACTGCGACTGTAAGTTCAGCAGTGGCAACAGCACCTGTAAGTGCAAAGCAAGCTGTGAAGAAGTTTGTTAATGAAAGAACGAAATCGGCAGAACTGAAACGAACAAGTAGTTTAAACAACCTGCTGTTGACTGAACCAGCAGCATCTACAACAGTAACTGCCATCATTACCCAATCAGGTAACATCATGTCTAGTTGCTCTTCACAAAGCCATACTAATCAGCCCATGGACCAGGCAGAAAGGCAAAGTGCCGCCAAACAATCAGACTTCAATTTACACCAGGCTGCATCAGCCCTTCTGAGTATCAGTTCACAGGATGGGCTTGATACTGCCGATACCTTGCAAGCCGGGGGAGAGGGCGAGGACTCCATAGATGAACATGATGATGAGGTTGTGTTTACTAGCAAAGGAGTGTTCCGTGTTGGAGATGTTGACGTTGACCCAAAATATAACAGGATTGGTAGAGGTGAGAGTTTCTTTTTTTGATTAAAATTTGATTTCTCCCCAAAACATTATTAGATTGCCAAGCAGGCACGTGATGAGAATATGAAAATCATCAACAAGTGATTTGTTGTTATATAATTAATTTGCTAAAGTACATGAAACTTTAAGAGAAGTACGACGTAACATTTTAGAGTTATGCACATGTAAGTCAACCAAACCTGTAACAAGATGCAGGGACTTATAATGAATAAATATTAAATAAATAGTAAGTAAATGACTAAATTGGACTCATGGCTCATCATCCCATGGCTCTTTGTCCACTGTTTCCAGATCAAATTGGAATTTGGGGTGTTGGTTTTCTTGGAGGGAGGAAAACTGGAGAAAAATCCTCTGATCAAAGCCACAACTGATGACAACTCAACACTCTTATGACGTGAAGTCCAGGACTCGAACCTGGGCTATATTGATGGGAGGAGAGTACTCACACCACTGTACCATCCTTATGCTTATGTTAAATGTTATGTGTGCTTACTAATAAAATGTAGGTTTTGCTATGTTTACTTCAGGCCCTATTAATTGCTCTATCTTGTTTGTCTATAGATGTTTAATGAAATAAATGTCTTTTTCTTCACAGAGGGGTATACTTGTGGAAAGTGCAGCAAGATCTTTACTTCCCTCAGCTACCTTGCACGACATATCAAGCGAGTGTGCCCTGATATGAGTTGCCGGAAATGGAAATGTACCATGTGTGACAAGGCATTCCGCCATCCATTTGGTCTCCAGCAACATATCTACACTCATACAGGGGAGAGGCCGCATAAGTGTCCTCAGTGTCCGAAGGCATTCTATAGTTCAAATGATTTGCGAAGACACAGCAGAATTCATTCAGGTAATTACTTTTTAATTATTACTGCATCTTAAGACAGATTGAGAGGGCTTGCACCAACTAAAAAATTGAATTCCAGCTTGACCTTCAAACAAGCAGCTTACAAATAATGCTTGGCCTGGGCTGGTCGTAGTTTACTTTTATTACAATTTAGTTGGCAGATGACTTGCCTGAATCCCATGCCCATCAGGCAAGTCAGAATGAAAAGTGGCTTGCCAGGCAAGAAAATCTACTTGTCCTTGACGAGGGAACAGCCCTTTTTTGAGCACTGATTGAATATTTCCATGCTCTGCACAGTTTACAACTCGAGTGTGGAGTTCTTTGTGGTCAGCAGCCACCCCTCTGAATAGTCTGTGGTATCAAGCTACTATGAGGCCTTGTTGCAATTTTTCTGACTGTTGTACTCTACATTCTGTATTCATTTCTAGCTACCTATTGGAGTTGTTTGACAGATCACAAATTTTTAGTTCTCTTGTGTGTACAAATCTATTATACAGTCAACACTCTTTTATAAAGCAGACACCTCACTAAGATGGAAAGTTAGAACTCACCCTTAGGTGGTCTGCCTTACAGAGACTTCACTGTACTCTTTGAATTCATAGGCAAGTGTTCTCCATTTTTAATTTCTTAAATTTGCACTATAGGTGAGCGTCCTTACCACTGTAAACACTGTGAGAAGAGTTTTGCGACAACGATATCTTTGAAGACGCACACATACATTCACACAGGAGAGAAGCCACATAAGTGTCCTCACTGCCCCAAGACATTTGCCACTTCAAGTAAACTGGGACGGCACATTGTGACACACTCAGAACAGCGCCCCTTTGCTTGTGATCACTGTCCCAAGTCTTTCAACAGATCAGGTTAGTATGCAGTCCAAGCATTTAATTCTCCAAATGTTGGTCTTACCTGAATGAGGAATAACTACTAATTGAAATCAAATTTGTTGCTTGAAATCAAATTGAAATCAAATTTGTAATAAACTTCTCTCAACTAGTAGTAAAGAAATGCTTGAAAAAACCCTGATTGGGGAACTTGTTTCCGGTGTAATGAACAATTCTAACACCTAAGCCCAGTAATAGAAAAATGTGCAAAAAGAACTGCGATGTAACAAACTCCCATTGGAGAGGACTCATTTTGTCTGACCCCTGGCACCTCATTACGTTGTGGTTCCACTAGCTGTCCCAGATTTTGGTTCAAGTAGCTGGCAACATGTTACTTAGCCAAATGTTTACCAAAACGTTGTGCAGATAATTATATTTCCACTTTATTTATTTCTTGCAGTCATTAAACTCCATACACAAGATGATCTGTATTGGCCCCCTCTCCCCTAAACAGAACATTGTTTATAATTATTCATATTTGCTTGAAAATGTGAATGCAGTCTATCATGTTGTTGTCTACGTTTTCAAGCACTGGCCACAATGTTTGAAATGACAAATGCAATGCCATGGGATGTACCTCTGCATAACTTATAGTAACATGTTAATTTCAGGTGATCTGCGACGACACAATATGCATGTACATGAGTCTCGTGATAAGCAGTTTGACTTTGATGACAGCAATGCTATGCAGTTAAAGACTAGCAATAATAATAACACTCCAAAAAATCAGGACATCATCAGGGGACAGCCGCATCGGTGTTCAGAATGTGAGGAAGTTTGTAATTCATCAGCAGAACTAGGGCACCACATGCTTCTTCATGATTCCTCAGTGACATCTGGCTGTGGTGGGTCGGCATTAAATCACATCACCTCTGAGAAACCAAGCCAAGAGGGTGATCATCTGGATGAGAGCACAGAATCAGGAAGTGGAGATAGTAACTAAATAACAGACATTAAAAAGGTTAAGGTAAGCTGCAGTTAAGATCATGATCGTCTAATTTTTGTCATCCGTTCTGAAAGCTTCATAATGTCCACAGGGGTTTCATAAAGTGGTTTAATTGGTTCTCACAGGCAAACAGATCTTTTTGAACTGAACTTCTTTGTGAGAAACACTTTCCTCTAGATGGTCAAACCAGGCAGGCAAAATTGACTTCACTTCCAGTTAACTTGTCCGGTGCCTGGCCCTTAATGAAACCCCTGAAGTGTTCATATCTTGTTTTAATTGGCACTGGATGAGTGGTACATGTACTAGTATGCAAACTTAGTATGCAGACATTGGTTTTGGGCAGAGCATGTAATTTTCTTATTTGTTCACAGAACAGAAAGGTACTCCTATTTGAGTTTGCCTTTTTAATAGTTTGCCCAGTCAGGGCATGAGGATGAGGGTAAAAAGAATCAACGAATTGTTTGTTTTGTTTTTGTTTGAAAACATAACACTGGCAGGTACATGTGGTTTTGTGGCTTTGAGGAAACAGACGCCTCATCTTGCACTGATTCCCTCCTATGTGAGAAAAATCATGATAATGTTAGCAGAATTTAAAATTTCCATGCGGACAATATTTCATTAGATGATAATTTGATTTGGCCTTCTTCCAATGTGACCCACCCCCCTCCCCGTGAGGTCAAATGTCTTTTTAGCACTGATTGTATTTGAACTGTTTTTCTTGCAGCCTGTATTAGGCGGTCACCCCATATTAAGTGGTCACTTAGCCATTCCCCGAGGGTGACTGCTTAATACAGGTTTGACTGCAGTTGCTTTAAACTTGAGTTGTCCGTTACCGCAGATACGTACAGTCCACTAAATTAGATATTAGTATTGCATTTTGAAGTTTTCTCTCACAGTGGATGGAAACAATCTTGCAACATCAAAATGTCTGTTTTCTCAATCTAGCTAAGCATAACATGTATTTAGGCTGGGGAGAGTGTTCAGGCAGGGCGCGATGACCTGTTGATTGCAAACTCAGAGAATGAAATTTGATGTTTAACTAATGATAAAGAATTGCCATTGTTGTTTGGCTGTTAGATGCTATGATACAAGGAGCTGTTTTGTTATATTTGGGAGCAAAAGGAATCATATTTCAGTGCAATTGTGCATTTGAATTTTTATAATAACTCTTTCTGATGCACTAAGTTATGGTAGAAAATTTCAGGTATTCTTTGTGTAGTAAATTGTTACAGGGATATCAAGTTTGTGGGGTGTGGTTAAGTTGGTCAATTTTTGTATCTTGTTATTTGGAAAACTTATCAAGTAGCAGCTATGAGTAAATGAAATTTGTTTCATCAGTTTTGCACCCAAAATTTGCATTTAAAATTGCAGCTAGAGAGTCTTGGGGCCTTAGAAGTATTTTAGTGCAAATATGCCATGGCCTGTTTCAATTTAGTTCAGTTAGATTGGCTCTATGGTCTCCGACAATTTTTTCCCCCAGTCAGATGTGTGATCTTGTTCAAAGTTTTGAAGGCTGTGCCATTGAACTGATGTGTTATGGGTGCCAAATGTAACCACAATATTGATCCATGGCAAATTTCTACTAATTAAAAACAGTAATAATTAAAAATTACATTGGTTGTCCCCATTTTCTGTTCAAAATTAATTGACTATATTAATTTTGTTACTAGAAAATGCAACCTTCTATAGCTCAATTGTTAAATAGCGCATATTATGTAGCTTGAATGTTTAGGGTTTTTTTTGGATGTATTTTTAGGCATATTTTGGTGATGGTACTTGTTGCATAATCATTGCCTCATTGCCATTGTGCAGTGATAGTTATATGTTATGTCTCCTTTTGGAGAGTATTTTATATGTGTTCATGTAAATTTAACTATTCATAGAATATTGCTATATGCTGTACAATGTAGCCACTATTGTGGCAGTAGAGAAGTAGGCAAAATTTACCGCACTGATTTCTAAATCATGAGCCAGATGGTTATTTTAAATATTTTTTTTTGGTACGAAATCATAATTTGAACTGATCTCCTTTTCGGAGTATGGTTTCTTGTGGATGCTATTTTTTGGTTCCCGTAGATCTATCTTAATTCTGTAGCCACTTTGATTGTCAAATTTTCCATGTTCCAAATATCAAAAGTTGACACTTTTATTGAGCCTTTTTATGAAATTATTTCTTAGTGAATTTCACGAGTGTACCATTTGATTACCTTTTAATGCAGTAGGTGACAAATAATTACGCTTACAATCCTGGGTTTTTGACTTGTTTATTGTACTGAGAAATTTTGCGCCAAGCAATTTTGTAATTTCACGTGTGAAATTATAAATTAGCACTGAAATTTTGCCCCGAGATCGAGGAGTAATTTGTCACCCATGATATTACTCCGTATACAGTGGCACTGCAGCTGTGTTCCCAGAATATTAGGACATGGTTTTATAAGGAAAGAGCTCTTTTGCTAAAGAGAGAAATTTTCTTGTTTAGGAACAATATGGCAGCTGTGTTGTCATGTGAAATAGTTGATAAACTTCGTTATTCTCCTCACCTATGTTCTTGGTATTGTATGGATATGGTAGGGAGAAACCCTTTTAGGAATAGGTTAATAATAGCTGTCCTTAGGTGACTGAAAAGGTGATATGTTTTCATTTCAATCTCAAAATTGAAGCTTTGAGTATAATTTGGAAAACATCTTCAAATTTGTTGAGACGTCTCTTGAACATTAATTTGTACACCGATTAGGTCAATGAACATTTTAGTTTTTGGATATTTGTCAATGTGATTTTGCAAGCATGGAGCGATTTCCTCAATTTGTTAGTGCTGGCAAATACTCTGTAATACAGTAATTCCAAACGTTAGAAAATTTGAACTACATGTCCAATCTGAATTTTTTTCAGTAATTATATTATTTTACATGAAGTAATTTTGAAATTGTCAGTGAAAGTTAGTCATACCGTTGTCAAATTATTTTCAAGTTTTTGCGTGCCATAAGATTAGCCATTTAGACTAACATTTCAAATGAATTATTTAATGAATTTAACGATGTGATTTCCACTTAGGTCGAGCGTTCGCTCAAAATTTTTTACTTGCTCTTTTGTCGTACAATTGGAATTCTAATTTTGTATGATATTTAACACTGATTATTAGTGTTAACCTTGATGCGGCCAAAAGTGTTATTTTTTGTGCATGGCTACAAATAGATTAAAAGGTTGATAAATTCCATTTGCCCTTTATAACAAAATAACAACTAGACTATGCGGAAAAGTATTTTTTTTCACAAGTAATATGGTAAATTGTTCGAAAAAGAAACTTTTTCATATGTTCAGGTTGTATTGATTTAAACACCACAGCATAAACAATTAACAATTACTCCACTTGCGCTTGTTGGATATGAGATGGTAGATAGCCAGCGAGGCGCCTAGCGCCAATTTGGCCGTAACCATCTCATATCCAGCAAGCGCGAGTGGAAAAATTATTTTATTAAAAACGCCATCCACAATACGGAAAACTAAAATGAAATATAAACACTCCCACCCCACCCC